AATATCTCACAGAGGAAGGGTAAACGTCCATTAATTGTGACTGCGAGTTTCAACTATGGAAGACTTTGTTCCACGCCATGATGGTTGTGAAGTTAACACATATATACATATGTGTGTGTTAAATTCTGATTGTGACGTAGCAGTATAAAATGACATGTGCATCTTTATAATTCACTTAATATGGAGCTAGCTAGCTTTGTGGTCTTCACTAATCACACGCCGATTTCTTCTACCGATGAAGTTGGGTAATGTTTTCGTAAAAGTATTAATGTCCGATGTGAATCCACTGAAGTTAAATGGTTTGTAACGTTAGAAATTTATAACTGTTCCTGGTCAAATATCTGAAGTGTCCCGATTAATAAGCGTTATAACAAGCGCAGTTATAGTCTCCGAAGTTTATAGCACACCACGCTACATCACATTACATCATATTGAGTCATTTTATGTTTTTGTCTATTACAGTGTAAGGAACTGTCACCACGTTTTGGCGCGTCGCGTTGATTATATTTACAGGTGTGTGGAGAGTTTCTCAAAATTTCAGTTTACATAACAATACTGACGCTAACACTAGCATCTATGTACTCTCATATATTGTTGATTCTTACACTCGAGAATCTTCTACAACTTTAGAAAATAGGCGGGAGTTTCACAATACATATTTAATAGTATAAGATATGTATATTTCTAGATATAAATTTAATTTAAACAAACTTCGATATTAAAATAAATATGTAATAATAAATCCGTCACAATATATATACACAATGTTTATTTCCCACTTTAATGAGGTCTGGTGATTAGGCTGCTCGTCTTGCAGCTGTGGATCGCGGGATCAAAACATGTCGTCAAATCTTCTTGCCCTTCAGCTGTTAGTTCACTGGTAGTTGATAAAAGATTAGCACAAGAGTTGACAGTGAGTGGTGTTGACTAGTTGTCTTCCCTCTAGTATATCACTTCAAAATTTGGGACAGGTAGTGCAGGTAACCCTCAAGTAGTTTTGGGCAAAATTCGATAACAACAAGCAAGCTCAATACAAAATTTATTATTTTTATATTTTTGTAATACCAAGTTTTTCTATTATTTATATAATTACGCCCTTTCATTTGGAAAATGTATTAATGAATAAATAATAACAATCTGATATTAAGCGAATAGTCTCACTGACAAAAGAGTGAAGCTGAAATGTTTTTCTACTCTGTTCTCTGATGACTCATATTAGTTTGTTTATTTTGAATTTCGCGCAAAGCTACACGAGGGCTATCTGCGCTAGCCGTCCCTAATTTAGCAGTGTAAGACTAGAGGGAAGGCAGCTAGTCATCACCACCAACTCTTGGGCTACTCTTTTACCAACGAATAGTGGGATTGACCGTCACGTTATAACGCCCCCATGGCTGAAAGAGTTAGCACGTTTGGTGGGACGGGGATTCGAACCCACAGATTGCGAGTCGAGTGCCCTAACCACTTGGCCATGCCGGGCTGACTCATATTAGACCATCTATTATTAAGGTAAATCAAATTTGACCAGTCCAGTTGTGAATTTTTTGCACACTGGTTTGCAGAAAAGAATTTGGTTTTGTTTCAGACTTTTTTCTCAAAGAATATGAATATTTTTGCCCTATGCGACTCTAATTTTGAACTGATAAAAAAGGAAAGCAGCTAGTGAACAACAAAATCTTGAGCTACCCTTGTCTATTTGAATTGTGGGATTTGACCGTCGTTATTGTAGCGTGCCCACAACCCCAAAGTGCAGAGCGCCGTTTCGCGGTAATGGGCCTCGAACCGCAAATCGTCGTATTCGCTAACCATTAGGCCATTCAAGGCCCCATAAGAGAAATAAGTATTCTTGATAAACAACCATAGTAAGAATAAATGCACCAGACAAAAACACGTTTGATTGAAACCTTCCCTTAGAATCAGCAATAGTGATGAACGTGGATGTACCATATACAACCGCAAGAGTCATAAATTAACTCACTAAATACGCTTATGATCCCTAGAAGCTCATCCACCAGGAAATACACCTGCCGAATACCTACCACCTACCAAACACAGCAGTAATTATTAGGCATCCATCCTCCAGATAAACAACCACAACTGGTTGAGACTTGCCTACCAGTGACAAATTAACGATATTGAACGAGATAACCCAACATATATATATTGTGTACCCATCAAATACAAAACTACTATAAGTGTCAGATACTTACCCATAACATGCACACGTGACTATTACACGTACTTCTGATTTTTTCTTTTACTTTCTGCTTTTTAAGGTTATGCATAAGCATACTTGACAAGGACGAAATGAAAGTCAATGAAATGTTAATAACGCATCTTTATGTTCTCTTTCACTCTCAGCTTCTATTACACACACACACACTACATGGTTAAAACATTCAAGAAATCCCCATATACATGAAAGATGAGAGGGCAGCTAAACAATGTGCATAATTTTCTTTAATGTACAAAAAATCGAGAGTTTTTTCAGCATGAAAGTTGTTCCTCAGCTCTCGTACGGACGAATGAAGATTTCTTTGTATTCCTAATCCGAGAAGTTTGAATTAAACTACTGGCATTTTCAATATTATAACAATTGTTTCGGCAGGTAAAAAATGTTGTTTACAGGAAAGACTAATGATATTTTTACTCAGAAAACCAGACGTACATTCATCATTTTATATAGTCCACTAAAACTAAGTTTCACGAACTTTGATTTACGCTGGAGAAACAACTAAGCTTATCTTTAGCAATTATATTGTTTGTCAAGGTGATTTATTCGGATGGCTATGTAAATCATTATTTGACAAAAAAAATCTGTGTCTGTGTGTATCCGCTTATAATTGGCGAACCGCTAGACCGATTGCCACCATACTTAGCATGTACCCTTAGGACCCCCCCCCCCCCCAGGGAGTGAAATTTTGTCTTCTCCGTGTATTTTCAATACCTGTACAAGTACAAAGCACGAGAACCACCTGTTACTTTATTTGTGAAACTTGTGTCGGTAACACTGCAATTAATAATTATCAAAGTCTATATACCGTTACCATATACCGGCTATACTTCCTTGTTCGTTACATTCATAACTTTTGTTCATTGAACTCCAAGTGTAAGTGCAATAGTTACCTGTTGTCATTACGTGATGGCGGTGATACGCTCGTCATGATTTTGAAGCTCCCAATAGTTTAATCCACGTGTCTACGCATTATAAAACCAGAGAAATCTTCAGTTGTACACAGGAGAGCTACGAAACTGTGAAATCGGTCTCTTGTTTTGTTGAAATATACTCTTTGCTTGTTTCTTTTCACGGAATTAAAGAAAACTACACAAACTATTGCTGCCTGAGTCAATCTCACCTGTCATGTATACATATTTATATACTTGAAGGGCGTTGTTAATGGACTTCATCTGTCTAGGAAGTATTTGGAGGATGTTTTCCCTAATGAAGATCCGAGCAATCAGCTCGAAACATCGTCCAAGAACTTTCTGGACAGAAGAAGTCCATTAACAACGCCTTTCAAGTACCAATACATAAATTTACACTAATTTGTGTATGTTAAATGGAAATTTGTTTTGTAATTTTTTATCATGCAGTTTAACACGTATATGTTGATGATGGTGTGATGTCGCTTATCACATATCCTGATGATCGATTTTTTAATGCATTCAACTTTTATGTCCTATATATAACTTTGTCTAGATCAAGTGCTGATCTGTATAGTTTCTGTGTGTGTGCTTCCCGTGTCGTTTACACTAACATGAAGAGCCTCAGGAGTTGCTGGATTTCATAAGCTAATCAGCAGGAGCTGACGGCAGTACACGAGTGAACATTTTTTAAAGCCCTGTGCATGATTCACAGATGTCAAAGGGCGCAAGGGATTTTGGGAATCCAAACAGCGGCACATGTTGTGTGTATGTTTGTACTTGAGCGTGCGTGTGCGTGAGCTCAACGAGAGTGTGACTGGCTGAACTTGGGTGTCTCAGTCTTTGTTGTCAGCATCGACTCGGAAGCACAGTCCTTCTTCATTTACGAAACTGGCGGTATCAATTGAAAATTACTTTGATGTAGTTTAGGCTTATCTTAATAAACAATTGCAGAACGAATAAAAATTCAGAAGTCTCGTATTGAGCACTCGAGGTAAGTTTGTTTGTTTGTTCATAACTTCTGTTAACTCGTCCATATGTTTGAGAACAATAGTTTTGTTTTTATTTAATTTCATGCAGAAATTTAAAAAGCTTCACTGAATATGTGCAATATTTTTGATTTAACATATTGATGTTTAACGTGTTAAAAGCAATCCGAAAACTTTTGTTGTTTGTTTAGAATTAGTTTCAAATTTTCCAATCCTGTAACTGCAGTTATATTACAGAAAGATTGAAATAATCCTTGCTGCAGCTGTATTTAAACCTTCTTAAAATCTTATTTACTATTTTAATCTGGCTGTGACACAAGTATTGTTTGATCCTTCTCTAAAAAAACATAAGCACAATATTAAATTCAAGATGGCAATGACATCAACATAAGCTGAACAACACAAGTTAGATGACAGGTTGCTATAGTTTTAGGGATTATTGGTAAAACACGCAAGTGTATAAACAGCCTTGGCTAAATATATGTGTGGAATAATGCAGGATTCGAGAAGTTTTCCAAAATTTTACTTGGTGATTTAGAATTATCCCAGTATATTAACGTTTTCAACATTATTTCAAATGGTCTATTAAGAAATTACGAATATGAGCCTGCTTTTTAATTTTTATTATATTTCTCAGAAATTCGCGCAAAAAGGGTAAGCTGAGCATAGCAGTTCTTAATTTTGAGCTGATAGACTGAAGGGAAAGAAGGTAGTCAGTAGTACCGACCGCCAACTCGAATAGTCGGATGTTACCGCCACATTTTTAAAGCACCCTATTTTTTATTGTGGTTTCTGGATGCGAACCATTGATCCACGGTTCCACAGAGCAGACATGTTAACTGCTAGGTCACGGCTGGCCCCTTTCCTAACTAAAAACATTGTTAAATTTTGCTGTTAATAATAGTTATAGTATTATTGCTTAAGATTTTTTTTCTAACAGGAACAAGTTGTATTTTTTTTTAATCAAAGAATATTTTATGAAATCTAAGAAAGAGAACTGGATTTTTATGAAAGCTGAAAATTTTGTTAACAACATGTCACGTGAAAGCTGATACGTCAAATAGCAATTATTTCAGTCCAACTGATGGCAAATTATGCTCTTTACGCTTTGTACAATAGAATATACAAAATGTATTAATATCTGAACATGCTTTAACATGAGTAATAATAATAATTAGCATGTGAGAGTAAATGTTTCTAAATTTCATAATTAACATCTTACTTGTGTCATCTGTATTCTGATAGAATGCTTAAATGTATGGTTATTTGTCAGGTTTTATTTGAAGTTTTATATTAAAGTGAAAACTCGCATGAACTGCTTAAAAACATTAGTTTACAGAAAATACAGGTATAAAGTTTACAGTCAACTTGTAATTGATACGAAGAAAACAGACTTTTTTTTTCTCTAAAGGTTATTAAGTGACGTTTATTTGAATACTTTAAACAAGTGTGTTTCTTTTGTGTGTTTTTTTGTAAAATTATTCTTCGATTTAAACCACGAATGAAACATTTTATTATCGTGTATCTGATATAATCAAAACACAAACTTGGAATAACTTTGTTTATTAGTCATAGCTGAAGTTTGTCAAAAATCAAATATCGTTCCATTTTATTGTAATTTCGATATTGGTTGTTGACTTTAAATTACATTTAAGTTGTATTTTTGTTCATTTTGTTTTTCCAACAAAGATACGAAATACATAGTTTCTGATCTAACCAAAAGATGGCACCCGTGGATTTTAAGACCTCACAGGTATAGTTCACCACGATTTAAAATAATTAAATGCTGAGTAAACGCCTCAAAAGGTTTAATATTATGTATCAGTTTTAAATAAAGTATTTTTTATTATGAAATTACGACTATAGATATTAATGAAGTTTGTTATTGTTATTGCGCTGTGGCAAGTAACAAGGTGTAATAGTTTGTTTTATATCACATATATGCTAGTATTTCGTTAAAAAAAAAAACCATGGTAGCTTTTATAGTGCTTAAAAACAAGTACCCTAATCAGTACTGTTAAGATGTTCCTGCTGCGCGCCTTGCAGTTCATGACTTTTTTGTGTCGTAACTTCAATATAATTACATATAAAGATAAACAAGTGTAACCTAATTAGTTTTAAAAAAATCTGTTTCGCGATTATACAGATCTGAATTCACATATGCACGCTTTATTTTTCATTAGGGTTAGGGTGCGATAGACGCGCTTATCACTAGATATAAGTATTGGTGGTGAATTGTAAGTTACTGGAATATATAGTTACAGTTAAGGTTTTATGTGTTATAATCTAGCTGGTATGATTAACTACGGGGAAAGTCTGTGACAAGAATTAGTACTGTTATTATTATTTTAAAACTCAATCAAAGATTAAATCAATTGATCCACGAAGGTTCTATAATATAAATTAATAATTTAAGTTTAATTACAACATTTAACTCTAGAATTTTCGATGAATCCCATCGGATTTTTAAATACATTTTTCTACACTATTTATGCGCCAAGTTGCTTGTGGGTTCATGATTTTGTTAGTTACAGGATCCTTAATAAAATATGAGTCGCCTGAAATATCTAAAGAAAAATATCACCAGTATTGCAATTAAACCCTCTAATTACAGCTGGAACTCCCTGTGAGCTTTACGTAGAAGATTAATGATTTCGCCCAATTTTTTTGACAGTTCCTTACACTGTAATAGACAAAAATATAAAATGACTCAATATGATGTAATGTGTGGACCCCATCAGTAGTGAATGGTATAAAAACATAAGGAATTTGAGAGTTAAATTCATTAGCACTAATAAGGCCCATAAAGTATAATCATCATTAAGCTGAATGGTTATTATAACGAATACTGAGTTTTATGTCATTGTCCATCCAGTATCCTGCTTATTCAGGCTATTATAATACGATCTAATTCAGATGAAATTATGTAAGTTATAGTTCGATCTAATTCAGATGAATTTATCTAACTTATATTTCGATCTAATTCAGATGAAATTATGTAAGTTATAGTTCGATCTAATTCAGATGAATTTATGTAACTTATATTTCGATCTAATTCAGATGAAATAATTTAACTTATAGTTTAATCTAATTCAGATGAAATTATGTAACATATTGTCTTCGATGAATTAATTGGTGTTTTATTAGACTATTCACGATTGTGCACAAAGAAAAATATTCCAAGGTTTTTAAACCTGTTTTGTTTCCATATGTTGTAACATGTGTTTGTGGTTTCTGTCATATAATGTCATGTTAAATGGTCGACGTTTTTCATTAATTACGCTCCTGTAAAATAATTTAAAAACTTTAACTTACGTTTTTCGCTAAGTACCATCCTGCTAAGTAACACAATAATACTTATTTTTCTTTATGATTTTATTGGAATATAACCAGAAGCAATTTGAGTTATATATTTAAAAACGTTTTAATATAACATATTCAAACCTGTAGGAGCTCATATAATGAGAGGATATTTTTAACACAAACCTATGCGATTACAGACATGAGTTTCTAACAGTATAAAAAGTGTGAAGAAAAGATTTGTCTTTTACAATTCCCCCCCCCCCACCACACACACACACTAGTTGGCTCAGCGGTAAATCTTAGGGCTTATAACACTAAATGTTGAGCTTTGATACCTGCTACGGACACAGCACAGCTAGCCAGATGTGTAGCTTTGTGCTTAATAAGAAACAAATTATTTTACATTTACCTAAAAATAAAAATAAATTGCCACAAACTTTTCTATCTTACCAAAGACATGACTTCATAAACGAAATAATTCAGATACAAATTAATAGACTAGTTTTTGTTACAATGATTAAGATGAGCGAATTAATAAAATGCAGCAAGTTTTCTAACATATGCTTATATTTTACTTGTAAAGCTTTACAAAGACTTATTTAGTTATGTGTGTGTTTTAAAGATAAATTTTGTAAACTTATGCAATATACTACCTGTACCTTAATCTTTATGGGCAACATAAAATATTCAGTTAGACTACATATCTGAAATTATATTATTATTGTAATAAAAATTCTTGTGTTCTGAATATTGATTTAAAGTTCTTGAGACCTTATGCTTTCTATTGAGAAGCCTAGTTTGAGGTACGCCTAATTCTTGTTCATAACAGCGATTAGTGTTCATTTTCATTTGCTATTCTTATTTCGCCAAACGTAGGAGGAACTCTCTTTAGTAATAGTCATGTTTGTTGTTATCATGGTAACGTGTGCTCCCTGCATCCGCGTCGTTGCAAATAAAAGTAAAATGGAACCGTGCAGCATATCGAGATGCTATGAGAATATGATTCTTCAATATGATTGGTTGCTTTTTTTTCTCTTTTTTTCTTATGTCAGATTGTCTTTGAGAATTCCGTTGACAATAAAGATGTTGGTTTGGTTTTATCTACCAATTGACTTATAGGGTCTTCTGCTCTAAGTTTGTTACTGAGTTGGAAAAATCAGTCTTAATCTACTGTTTGTTTATTCTCTATTGCGGTGTTTCGCATTTCATATTCTAACTTGAATTTCGGGGAGAAATTCAGTACATTTTTCAAAAATTATTGGACTGTATATTTGATTTTATCCATTAAAATTTCGTTTCCAAAATTTTAAAGAACATTTGGTATACGTCTAACATAGACTAACGTTGTTAGGTGTTTTAATTTTCCATAAAAGGCTGAAAATACGTAGGAAGCATTATGATGTTCACCTCAAGTCGTGTATTTCGATGAAACATAGCATAACCTGAACTCTTCTGAACATAGCAAAGAGTTATACAAAATGGAGTTTGAATATTATGCCTTCACATGCTCCAGGTAATTGAAAAGTTATTTTTATCATAATTTAAACACTTATTTGCGTTTTGTAGAAATTTATTACATTTAAAAAGACATTAATCAGCGTAAGAGAAAATAATGTAATTTTTTTAAAAAAATTATGCCTTTTTTTGAATTATCATGACGGTAAGTATGTGTAAATCGATCCACAACTCAAAATAATTGCTA